ACCATTATTTTCAAATCTGAGTGCATGTTTGAGATTGGAGAGAGGATCTGTGAATTTGCAATATTCCCTGGTCATGCAACCCGGTTTTAGGTTTAGGTTAGGATTGTGAGACTCCTGTTGTCTGAGCCCAGCTTTAGAAAGCACACATGATTAAGTGAGACCTTTAGAACTAAATATCTTACTCTGAAGGTCTCTTTCTTCTGTGTGAGATCGGTCGCATTGTTCTTCACTTCTTGTTCAGCCTCCTGCAGGTGTTTTATTTCGTCTTTTAGATTTCCCTGTTGCACAGAGATAAAAAAAACAAAAAACATTTATTGCTATTGCTTTTATGACAACTAACTTAACTTTAACAACATGTACTGTTTATATGGTGTTGTATAGAGACCACTTACCCTGAGCTCTCTCTCTGCCTCCCTGATGCTGATGCAGACGTGGTCACGGTGGGAGCCTATGACTGTACACACCGTGCACACACACACTCCACACTGCCGACAGTATATACGGTTTATCTCCTGATGCTCCTGGCACCTCCAGGGGGAGAAATCCTCCATGGGGGGAACCAGGGTGTGATTCTGGAAGACAGGAGAGTCCAGGTGGGGACGCAGATGCTCTGTACACATGGAAGCTCCGCACACCAGACAGGTCTTTACAGCGGGCTGGTGCCTCATTTTAGGGCAGTAATGGCAGGGCACAGGGCTGGCATGTTTGCCCTCAGACTCCGGGGAGTACCCAGTACGATATGGGGATACTGGAGCAACAGCAGGAGGTTTGGTGGATATCAGGGGAGGCCTGCTGACGTTGTGTACAGGAGACTTACCTGGAGTGGAGACCCCAGGGAAGGAATCAGAGTTGGCAGACATGGCAGGTTTCTTTGGCGATGCATGAATTGTGGCATATGCGCCTATCTTGGGGGTTGCAATAGTGGGTGGATCACATATATCTACTTCGTTGGAGGTGTCAGAGTCATCTATTGAGATGACTTCTTCTGATTTATGCTGGTTCTGCTGGGTTGAGATGTCATCATATGGCACATCACGTGAAAGTACTGAGTTGCTGTCAGAATTGTCACCGGAGGATGCGCCTTTACCACAATCAGACTGTGTGGATTCTGGTTGCACTGCTTTCTTGGATATCTCCCTACTGGTCAACTGTGCAGGTTTATCTGAGAAGGAAGTGCTGGGAGTCTCTGGGTCGCTGGACTGCTCAAGTGGAGACGCCACAGTTGATCGCTTTGTTTCAGGTTGCTCTGATACAGGTGTGCTCGCTTTTCTCTTCCCAAGAAGTCTGCTGGTGAGTGAGGGCCTCCGCAAATTGTCATTTGTATTTTGTTCAGCAGTTCTCGAAGTGCCTTTAAAAAAAAAATAGAATACAAACAAAGAAATATTTGTTAGGAGGGTTGACTAAGTATTACTGAACAAAAACATCTGCATGCTGCCTTCTGCCCAGCATAACTCACACTGCCTACTGAGCAGTTCCACTTTATTCAATCTGAGTAGTTATCATCTAACTCAATTCTCTTTTGTTATTCTTTTGTTTGTTACTATGCCGCCTTGTAAGCTCACTTTGTAAAGCTGTCAGTCGAAGTCTACGGTCTGCGATAACTGACTAACATGAAACTGATACATAAGAAACTGTATTTACTGTGGTTAGGTAATGGCATGGCTGGTACAGTACCTGATACACTTAATAAAGGTCAGTATCAACATTAGGGATGTCCCGATGACCTTTTTTTGCTCCCGATCCGATTCCGATCATTTGATTTTGACAATCTGCCGATACCGATTTTTCCCGATCCGATCTTTAAGCAATGCATTAAGAGAAAAAAAAGGTAACAGATAACGGCTGGTCATCCAACGCGATGAATTCAGCTATCTTGGCCTTTTCACTGTTCTGGGGCAGTTTCTCTTTCCTTTTAAAAGTCTCTGAAAGTGTCGGTTGTTTCAGTGCCGTTACCTGAGTGGCCGCTGTGTACTAGTCGTGTTGTTGTTGGTGTTTGTATTAGATTGGTCGTGTTGAACGTAGCTCTGTTCTTTCCACCACGCGGAACCTCCGCCTTGCAAACATTGCATCTGGCTGTTACACTGCCTTCGCTTTCAATTTTATAATACTTCCAAACTCCTGACATTTTCTCTGTCCCGACTCCCGAGGCACCAGCTGAACGTAGCCTCTTGTTAGCTTACTGCTACTATTAGACACTGCGCCCTGCCCACTCTGTTGCCAGATTTGAGAGAAATAAGCAACCAGGTCTTTGAAAACAAGCCCAAAAGAAGTAACACATACATGATGTTGTGTAATTTTAAACCAAAACTAAGGCCTCAGGATGACTTTAAGACGTGAACATGGTCATTTTTGTTTTGTAACATTAAATAAAATAAAAATATTTTATATAAAAAAAAAAAATTCCCGATCCCCGATTTTTTTCTCCCGATTCCGATCTTTTGAAAATCACGTGATCGGCTCCGATCCCCGATCACGTGATCGGTTCGGGACATCTCTAATCAACATGGATACTTATCATGGATTTCGGATTGGTGTAACCTTTAAACTGGTATAACTTGAAATGACTGTCAGTTAAGCATTAGTCATAAGCCGTAGAATACAAATATTTAATTCGAAAGAGGTGAATAAGAAAGAAAAAACAAGCCATTTTATGCTAAAAACACAGGAAAACTGAATCACTCCACATGAACACCTCAGACATGTTTGTATCAGACCTTTACCCTCACTATCTATTTGCTAATGAGAACTATACACTTTAGAGAGATAAGATTTAGCCTCTGACCCCTGTAACAAACACGACATTGCCACCATGAAATCACACAGGAGTGAATGCATAAAAAATAAGCAATTTTATTTACAAAACGTTGAGGATGTTGTGGGATTGGCATTTCCGGTAAGGAAGTAGGCTAAAGAAAATAATATATTAGCGTGCCAAATTAATGAATAGTTGTTTAGCTTTTGGCAAGCACTTAAACAAAAAAGCTATTCAAAACTAAAAGTAACGTAGCTAGTCTGTTCAACAGGGACATGCCAGTTTGAGTTATCTTACGTTGCCTTACGTTTATGTAACACATGGGAGGGAGACCTCTCACGTTAGCTAAGTTAGCTAGCTTTAACTGCTGCATTCGCTACTTAATTATCCTTTATTCTAACCACCCGTTAACAACCATAGTTGCCATAGTTTCAACGGTACCTGCAGTGTTGCGAGGCTGAGCCCAGCGGTAGTTGCCGGGCAGCAGTTTGCCATCAAACGGCAGAGTCTGGTACACAGTTGTGCACCTCCACTTCGGACAGTGGTACGGTCCGGTCGGGGTTACACTCCACAAGTCTCCGATGCACCGCGGGCAGAACTGGTGGTTACATTTCAAAGTAACGGGTTCCCGGGTCAGCTCGTTGCACAGGGGACACTTCGCTGGGGTGTCCAACGAAGCTCCCATTTTGTTAAGATTGTTTTGTAGTTTCTGTTTCCGCCTATGTCGAGCTGCAGGAGGCGGGACTTCATGTTTGAATCCCGCTCCACCTCCTGGTAGTGCTTGTCTTAAAGGGACAATCCACATTGAATGGGGGAGCAAGTAGCCTACTGTTAAGATATTTTGATTTTGAACTAAAGCACTACTAAAAAATACCCCATCACAGTCCAGCATTCATATACAATGGTACCAACGTGTTGTGACAAAATGTACTTAAAGAGTACAAAAATAAAGGGTAAGCATTAGGTGCAACAAATAATGGCTAAATGTGGTATTGTCTTAGTTCCCTTCTCCCCCCACAGCATTCCTGTATTTGTGGTGGTCTAGACATGTGACTTGGATAAATGCTATTGTTTCGTGTGAGTTAGAGCGAGGTTAATCTTTCATAATCTCAAATACGTTTTATCTTTCAAAGAGACTCTGTTCTTGCTTACAGCATGTTGCCTGGAAATATGAAGTAAGATTTGTGACTATAACAGCTCCATTCAAATGTTGTGCTTTGACTTTTAGGGTCATGGAATTTAAAGGTTAGCATTAAATAAGAAGCACATTTGAAAAATGTTCTTGCTTTCAGACTGTGGCATCATCCAGTGGCCTGTCTTGCATAAAAGAGAAACCAATTAAGCCTTAAAGTATGTGGCTCTCCTTTTCCAGACAAATACATTTTGAGTGACTGTCAGTGTCAAAAGAACATTTATTTCAATCTATCTATCTTATATTATTATATTACAATACATATATTTTAATCAGATAATCAGACTTAGAATGTTTTTGTTCTTGAAACCATTTAATTTTTTAACATAAATACTTTGTTGTCATTATCTCCTACAAGTAACTTATTTTATTTCCTGCTATGTGTTCTACAGCTTCTTAAACAAAGTAATTTTAGTTGGTGATGCATTATTGCATCATTTCTTGCAAAGTCATCATTATTTTTAAATGTCCAACTTATTCTGACTTTTGGTTCATAGTGTCAAACCGGTCGTACTCGAAAAACACAGGATCCTACATTTCCCAAAATGCAAGTTGATCAATCTACAGAGGACTTTACTTAAAGGGGACCTATCATGCAAAATGCACTTTTTGATGTCTTTTATACATAAATATGTGTCCCCGGTGTGTCAGGGAACGCACGCAGCGTCAGAAAATAAAACCCTCTCTCTTTTCCTCCGTACCCAAATCTCTAAAAACGGGGGTACAAAGGAGCTGATCCAGATTTGCGTTTTTTAAAAAAGCTTTATACCCCAAATCAGCACTTTTAAAACAGGAAGTGAAATAGAGGGATATGAGGCATGGCTAGAATGGGTGATCTGTTTGGTATTTTGAGCAAAACATTTCATAGACATGTATTTTATATATGTATATATATCTGATACCTATGCTATTGCCTAAAAATAGCATGATACTGTACATGTAGGTGCACTTTAAGTTTATCACAGGCTGAGTTGTACTTAACTTTAATAATAATATAATAATCATTTGGAAACATCACTTTTGTCAAATAAAGACACACAACAGAGATGTACAGTGAAAACCTTTATTAAGTGTTCATAATTCATATATTCTTAAAGGAATCTCTTTACTGGTTCTAGATTAACCTCCTCCATATTTGCTAATTGTTTGGTATCTATAGAATATTTATTTACACAGAAAAATATCCACAGGTGACGCTGGGACAGCCTTACTTATCCATAACCACCACATTTCACTCCTCAGGCACACCAGTCACTATACATTATACTCCAACTCCATCATGTTACCCTGTATGTCCCAACAAAACAAAGCGAGTAAAAGGGGAGTTAAAGAGAGAAAAACGGAAAGAGGGAGCTGGAGACAACGACAGAGACACACACATTTAGCTACACAACAGAACAATTGTGTGTGTGAGGCTGGCATATTGGTTCTTTAGGCCAACTATAATAGCACATTCACACCAACACTCACATGTGCATGCACTCACTCACACTCACTCACACACAAACAGACCTTCCATACACACATACAGAAGCACACTCACACAGCGGCTATGAGTCCTGCAGCACACAGTCCTTATAGCCCCATCACAGTGTAGATACCAGAGACTATAAAATATCAGATTTCTTCTCAAACTGAAGCGCTGTGCAAATTTAGCTAGCAGGGCATTGAATGGATTTAGTTAAAATTCCTAGAACATCTTTAATATTCACTGTACATACTTTTAAATACAAGTTTTTTTCTCTTTTAGATGATAATATTCTTATACAAAATATCTTAAATATTTTTTTTTCTTCCATTAAATGAAGTAGAACAATGGGGTGTATGAGCAAAAAAGAAACTTCAATCTTTCATTGTCAAACTTTACATATGAAACACAATAGATTTACATCAACTCGATAATATCTGAAAATGAACAGTTTCTTTTTTTTCTCACAAATAAAACATGACACACATTCTGACGGTGGTACACACGGCTAAGTGTTAAAATAGTTTAATACTTGTAATTACAGAGTTTTTCAATGTTTTTCTTCAAATGTACTGTATGTGCGTTGAGCTGTGTTTGTGCATATGAGTGTGGTGGCTTGTGTTTGTTTGTGTGTCTGTGTGTGTCTGTGCTCGTACTGCAGGTGTACAATGTCAACCCTGTGCCTTCTCAGGTAGGTAATGGGAAGTCTGTATACTTCTCGGTAGAATAACAGTCTCTGCCCCTGCCATGGTCTATGCAATGTTGTGCAAGGGTGAGGTCTGTAGACACATTGGGGTAGAAGTGCATCGGGCTCCATCTAAGTGCTGGGGACGATTCGGGGACGGCAAGCAAAATGGATGGACTTTGAGGGTAGGGTACACTGGGTATTTGGCAGGTTGATGTGAAAGGCAGGCTGGCTGGTTCCACAGAATTCCTCTCCTCCACAGAACTGGATGGCCTCTCTCCGCTAAGCTGATGTTGAGGGTTGACGGGTACTTCATGAAAACAGACACATGGAAATTCAGGGACCTGAGGGAAAGAGAAATATTTTATTTTTTGCAAAAATGCATTTATTTCCTTGAGTGCTTTGTTCTTTACTTGAGTTTTTCTGTTTCATACTACTTTAAATGCCTGCTACATTTCATTGAAATGGGAACTATTGTTTTTTTCTAAACTCAAATCTTAAAATCTAATTATATTGGTCAAAAAGGCAATTTGCTTAGTACATTTTTCTGAAAATACTCTTTTAATTGAGCAGAAATATGTATGTAGCAAATGTAAGAATAATTTAATTAGTAGTTTTACTTGAGTAGATGATGTGATTATTCCTCTACCACTGATATAAATGTAGTTGTACTTTTATTTGAGTATTGAGTATATTTCAGAGTAAAATATTGCTATTTTTTTCCATTACATTTACTTGAAACTGGCAATACACTGTGGTATTTCATTAAAGTATCTGAGTACTTGTTTTACTGTCTGTTGAAGGGGGCTACATGAGTAAAAGAGTGATGAAGAGTGTCAATTATCAAATTAATTGACACTGTACTGGGAATGTGGACACACATCTCATGGTAATCAAATATAAAAGAACATTGATGATGATGATGGCCGACATAAGGTCATTGACTGATAGATGGACATATCTAAAGATGATGATGATGTTCATTATGTTAGACGTTACTTACCTTAAGATTTTGGTTAGGCATTGCCTCCCTCTGCAAAAACATAAACACAGAGTAAAAGATAAAAGTGCTAACACGGTTCTCAAGGTCGGGCTATTATTAGACTCCCGTGTTCACATCCTTCCCGATGACTGGTTGGGTGTATTGCACACAAACACCAGTAGATGGCACCAGGGATGAGCTGAAGTGTATTTAACTGTAGTAAAATATTCATAATAATAGATTTCCCAGAGCCCTAAACTAAGGAATGGTTAATCAGTGAAGCAGAGAAGCTTTTTATTGACTAGTTAAGTTATCAATCTTAGCATTCGGAGTTTCACCTTTTAGATCTTCATCTTGTTTTATTCTCTCAAATTTGTCATTTGAATATATCATAGTTTAAATTAAGAAAATATAGACTGCATTTAGCTCCTGTGAGGTTTGGTTGTATTACTATGTAGAGAATAGTACCAGCTGCATGCACAGATGATTTGACAATTGAACTAAAATGATGAAACATATTTGCTTCTCTTATAATAAGAAAGTGACATTTCAAGCACCTTCCGCCCCTTTCAAGTATTGTCATATTTTCATTTTTTCTTCTTCATTCTTCTTCTTTCTCCACACTTTAGTTTGATGGGTTGTTGGTTGCCCATGCCTGCCTGGTTCTATTTCAATCTACATGGCATGGACAAACTAATCCCATTTCCCTCTGGGAGACATACCTGGATCTGGGCCTTTTCACAGTACCTCAGACCTGTGATAGTAATGCAGACATTACATATTCATGGACACACGCCTATAGGCCAGGCCATTACCATGATTAAATCATGAAAATGGGTGGGATATTAAGATATTCCAGCTGTCTTTGGATCTTAGTAGCGAGCACATACAGTATGTGACTTGAAATATAGGTATAACATTTCAAATGAACCTTAAAGGATGTTAAAACCCCTTCACTAGCAGAACACCAGTAAAGCGGTTTGTTACCTTAGTTTGGATGCCGTCCGCTTGAATCCTCTCAGCCTTGACCAAATATACATTGTTTGACAGCAGATTGCCCTGTGAATCTCTGTGTAAATGCATTTAATATTACAATATTTCACTAAGAGATGTTAATTTAGCAAAAGAGCAAACAAATTGGAATGGTAAAAACATGTCAAATTAGGTGGGAGAAAAAAAAGTTTTTCATTTATTGCATATGGTTGCAAAACAGTGCTTCTTTTCAATGCCTCAATATTAATTAACACTTTATTCAAAAGTTAGCTCATGTAGCCACTTTTTCCAAATAAATGTATAGCTTTCTACATTTAGTTTAGTTTTTATAAAGGCTGCATCAAAACTTTACTTCAGTGCAACATTCAGCTTAGCAAGGTTGAAAGTCACATGGTTTGTGTCAGATGAGAATACTATTCTTAAAGGTTTATAATTGACTTTAAGTGTATGCTTTTTGCCAGCCCACTATTGCAGAAATTACAAGAGTGCACTTTTAGGGCAGTTTGTCTTGTGGCCAGCCAAAAACAAACTGAATACACATAAGTGACTCTAAGATGTAAACCATTATGCAAGCTACACAAATAATAATTGGAAATTCACTGTAATCTGTTTCTAGATGCATGTTTTTTGTATGCGATAATTGTGTAGAGATATTTATTATTTCGAAAAATAGATTTGGTGAGGAAGGTAGCTTTATGATGAAAGAAGCTGTCCTACACCATATATGAATCACTTTAGGTTCACATGATGGCAAGTAGCAGACTTGTTGAAGACATTAAATCCCAACATGTTCTGAACCTGGCTTTGAATTCCAGCACAGTGCACAGGCCAAGAGTACATTTCCGAAAAGAGATCAATAAAATATCACATATTGTCGGATTAGATAGTATATTCTCACCCTTGCTCTCAGCCAGCAGCTCTTCTGACATGAGTCCGTCCTGCCGGTTCCCGAGGACGAAGGCCAGGAAGGAGAGGATGAGAGCGTCCAGGATGCCCATGATGGCCAAGATGTAGGCCCAGCGCACTGAGCAGGCTCCCAGGCTGTATTTGTCCGTCTGCTCCCCGCACATCTTCCGCACCTCGTCACTGTCCCAACCATCAGGATAGATGATACAGCCCAGCACCAGACAGACACCTAGTGAGAGGAGGGAGGGCACACATGGGGTAAAGAAGGCACAGAGAGTTAGCATCATTAGGAAAGAGAAGGAGTAGGAACGAAAGGTATCCACAGGAAAAAGATGAGTTTGGGGAGGGGAGTGCAGTGTAATAAATGAGGTCAGAGATAATGAGATTTTGTGGGGGAAATGAGAAAAAATGAAGAAGAAGAATGATCATTTCAACTGCTTTTAAAATCTCTACCCAAATGTTCTCCTCTCTGGAGGTTTCGCCGTGTTTGTATTGCACTTATCACATTGATTTTCATTGACTCCCTTAGGTAGAGATTAGTCACTAGACACAATGTGGAAAAGCAGTAAAAACAACCACACAATAACAGCAAGAGTATTTGAGTGTCGTCACTGTTCCGATTACATCAAATGTCCTGAAAAAGGCCTTGGATTTCATCACATTCACATAGTTTGCTTGTTTGGTTACACAACGTCATGCCTGCCTCTCTCCTTGGATTTTAAGTAGTGGTAGTATTAGATTTAACTGGCTGCTCCTCATTCTTAGTTTGTGCCCAAAGGCTAAAACCTCTTTCATCTTTAGTTTGAAAGAAATTCTTCTCTGAGGTGATGCTGCGGCAGAGCAGTACACGAAAAAGAGAAAAAGAGAGCCCATGCAGTGGTGCCGCCTTTCTCTCTCCCTCTTTAGATTTTTAACTAAGCTCCTCATTCTCACTTTTTGCCCAAGGGGAAAAATCTCTCTCATCTTCAATTTGGATTAGGTTCTCCTTTGAGGTGATGTTGCAGCAGAACAGCAGAGGACCTGGAAAAAGCAGCTGACTGCACAATTATCCGGAGTGTATAGCACATTAATAATAAAACACACACTCCCTACTTCTGATCCACAACTCTTCCCTATAATCTTTCTCCCTGTACACTACTTGTTTGTGTTTCCTTATGTATCTTCTCTCTACAACCAAAATAGAAATCAATATGCTCTTTACTCTCTTCTTATGTGCATACACAGGCTGCTCACACATACACATTAAAACACTCACGCTGCAGTTTGTTACAGTAAGGCCGCAGTCTATAACAGTGCCCAAAGATATCAGTGGGTGTTGAGAGATGTTACAGTGAGAAATAGAGTGGAATAACAGAGCGCTATATGCTGCAGAATCACTGCATACCTAACATAGCAGAGCATATCCACCCCTCTTCTACCTCCCCCCCCCCCCGTGGCTCTGTCATAACAAATTCATATTCACGCCAAGGTTCAGAGAGCAAGGACTCAGGTTTTTATTCAGGCTCAGATGGACGGATGGTGGAGTACTGCAGTGACCTATTTTAAACATTTCTATGCCATTTGGCAGGGGAAACATTAGTTTACATTGCAATGTGAGCAAACATGTGATAAAGCAACATACATTTGATTTGGTGATTTTGGTGTTGTCAGGTTGTGATAAGGCTTCCCTAGAACCTAAGCCCACACGAGCAGTATGCACAGTTTAGCATCACAGCCTGTCAACGTCATCGAGAGTCTATTACATGATTCAGTTCCTGAGTGAGTCACTGAGGCATTGATGTACAGTGTCGCCGGTGACTGGATCCACTTGTGTCCTATCGCTAACAAGTCTCCACTGACCGTTTATAAGAGTGTGTCTACAGAGAGCAGTGGCAAAGCGTTTAAAAAAATTGCGGCAGTGTTGTTGAACAAATCCAACTTGAGTTATGTTCTTCTGAAAGTGGCTCAAGGCAAAAGCAGAATGTCTTCAGTCCCAGCACATAACAGAGACAGTCCTCACCAGTGCCACTTTGTGGTTGGTTCAGCCTTACAAGATTTTTGAAAGTTGACGCAACATATCTGCCTTTCTCTGTCCTTGATTGAACACCAAATGACCTACAACCCAAAAAGTGTTTAAAGTCCACCGTCCATAGCTTGTAGCAATGACAAAAGTAGCTTGCTCGCTCATAATTTTCTTTAGGAGGAGTTTGCACTGAATTGTTGGGTTTATTTTTACAGCAGTGAGGACCCTGACATGTTCAGACTGGGTTGGATGAAAAGTGATGAAATCAGATAAAACAATAGAAACTGTATTATAAATATAACATGATACTGACTTTGACCTTTGCTCTTTTAAAGGGAGCTGTCCATCTTTAGATGGTGCTGAAAGCTGAGTCATCAGTCAGCTGTCACGTTATCAGTCGAGCTGAAGGGAAAGCTGTCTTTCAGTGGGGGTTTGAGAAATGGTCAATCATGGATAGTGGTGCTTGATATAAATCATGTTTTCAACTTGGAACAATGAGATCCACCCAACGGTGCTTCTACTAACTGCATGAATGCTTTGCATATTATGGGTGTTTATGTAACAGCTTAACAGAGGGAGTGCCACGGTATACAGCTTTTGATATTATGTAAGTCAATACATGTTTATTTTCTCCCTCTCTCATGATGCATTTACTACAAAGGTAACAAAAGCTTTTCTAGATCCTTCTGGGTGTCTCCTGTACGCCATCATGAATATTACATCAGGAGGAGATAGAGGAGGCACACACACAGCTATGGAGAAGGTGAGAGAGAAGGGTGCAGGAAAAATACGAATAAAAGATATGTGATAAATGCTGAAAGCATCAAGGTGCAGATACTAAAAGAGAACAAAAAAAAGATGTCATAGTTCTGGATGCCATACAATAAATCTACCCCAATCAACTTGTGGGGATTATCCCAACAGAGGGGGCCACATATGCTGCTCCTGCTTCCAGAAACAGCTTGTGGGTAGGGGAGGAGACCATGTCCCATCAAAACACTGTAACGGTAAGACTGGAGTCTTCTAATCCAAAACCACACACACAATCTTGCATGCCCGCTCCAGCACCCATTCGCGTAACGAGGAGATTAATTATATTACATACACCTTTTTCACACAAGCAAGCATTACAAAAATAAAAATGATGTATTGTAATTTTGTCGGAAAAGCAGCATATGTACTTAAACTCATTTAAACATTTTAAAATACTTCATGCATGCATATACATTTACCGGTAATAGTGTCTTTGATATTCTAATAAATATGATCTGGGGCATTACGTTCAATCAACAGTACTTCTATGATGTTTAGGAAAAGTAGACAACATGGATGCCAAATGCAGATCAATACTAATGTTTATATACTTTGAGGAATGCCAAAATGGGGACTTGAATTTAAGTTTTGGGTAATAGAAACCCCATTATCTCATTATCTGTTGGCATCAGCTGGCGTCACCCCTTACTCTCCACTGGAGCAGAGCTTCATGCTGCAGTGATAAAAGGGTGGCAGCAGAAATAGCAGCACACCTGACAGAATCCAGCTGTCAGTCGGGGTGGAGACGAGATATTAACTGACTACATTATCCTATACTCTTTCCGCTTTGCCCTTCTCTCTGTCAAGCTGGAGAGCAGCAGACAGGCTCGGAGAGAGGAGAGACAGATCATTAGGGAAGGGCGAGGCAGAGAGAGAGGAGAGGGGGTGAGAGACAGCCCCCATGTAGGGTGCCATGCTCCAGCCCTGTGTGGCCGCCAGCAAGTACCCAGCACCTCATAAGCACTGGCTACCATATGCTGGAGCCCCATGGCGGAGCTATTCTCAGCGTCTACTCTGGCGTGTTTTCCTCAAACTATCAGTATGTCTCTTTTTCTGTGAGGGGAGACCTGGACTGTGAAATGCATGTCGGCTCATCTCAGCTTATGTAAGAGACGATAGGTAGGGCAGATCAGGTGTGAACAGCTCGACAGGGGAGTCTGAGGGCAGACCAGCAGATGGTTCAGAGCCGTATGATGGCACTACATTTGTCAGAAGCACATGGGCTCTTTTTCCGTAAAGAGACAACTAAATCCCATCGTTACTAAAATAATCCCATTGCCGCCTATAAAAAAAAGTGTGGCATTTGCAAGAAGACACTAGAGACCCCATCTGACCACCAAAGCAGACCATTTTGTTTGTTATTTGCAGACAAACTAAATGAAAACACAGTTACTGTATACTGCATAGGATTTCATCTGCCTCCATAGCATCTGGTAATTGTTTTCACTATAACTCTGTGAATGCAGTCACATGTCTGGGTGTGTTGTCAGTGTTTCAGTATGTCATTGATTTCACTGGGTGGCAGATCCAACACTTACACATCTGCAGTACATTTAAGCAGCCATGAAAAGGGATTCACATTTTTGAACTCCCACAGTCCTTTGTGGACCCCATTTTCTTCTCCATAACTGTGACATACTAAATTATGCATACACACATCCCAAACTGCAATCTCACACTGCATATGGATCCAGTTGTATCACACACACAAACACAGACAGTCATACTGGTAAACATGCCCCTCTTTGTGTAAGTGATGCACTGCAGCTGAACATCATTTGTCACTTCTCATAGTGACACATCTTGGCGCTGGTGAGTCAAAGAGTATGTGAACTGTCAGCCTCTCTGGCGCATGAGCCAGAGGCAGTGGCATTTAAGGTAAAAACTAAAAGTCAGCTCAAAAAACAAATCAGCACAGACGCTCAGGGAACAGCTTTGAGTGTTTATCCCAGTAGGGTGTCTTTATGAATATGCATAAGTAAGTTTGCTTTAATGTTTCACTCCCACAGGTGAAATGGTGACCTGAATGAGGCGCACTCTTACTAGTTTAGTTCAAAGGGTTCTTTGTGCACTGCAGTCTTTTATGTATCTGTAATGAGATAGTCGCATCCAAAAAGAACAAAATAGCAGCTTGTGATTGTTATTCGTTGGGTAGTGGTGTGATAACCCCTAAAGACATGGTTTATCTGCGTTGCTTTTACCAGCATTGTGACTGCTCAGGCCTGGTGTGACTGTGTTTTTGGATGAGTCCGATTGCTTAGACTAGCACTTAGTGGGATAGAAATGGGATCGTAAAGTAGCCTAAAGATTCGAGGATCAATGGTTGGTCCTGCATGTTTTCAACGGTTTGACGTCAATGGCATATGTTTTACATTCTGCTAAGTTTCCTCCAAGCACTTGAATGCACCAATAAT